GAGAGAGAGAGAGAGAGAGAGAGAGAGAGAGAGAGAGAGAGAGAGAGAGAGAGAGAGAGAGGTTTGCATCGAAGGCTTGTGTGTGGGAGAGAGAAGAGATGGATATCGGTTCAGCCGTGGTGGATGTGGAGAGAGGGTGGTACGTTGGAAACTTTCACGGTGTCCTCTGCGAATTTTGGTGTGCGAGCATAGCGCGTTCGTTTGTAGTTACCGATCTGCACCTCTGCTTGTCCTTGGTGCAGCATCGTTCCGCAGTAACCGCCGAATTCGCACGCTCGCGCGTGGGATTTTACGTTCCTATAGTCGGCTTCTTCCTGTTCGCTCTACCCTACCCTACCCTATAAACCCGTCAATCGTCCCCTCCCCCCCAACCTATCTGCCCTTCCCCTCTTCTTCGTTTAGGTTTCTAGGTTTTCTTAAGGGGGGAGTTCTTGCCCATTTCTGGGTCCTTGCGACACGTTGCTGCTCGATCCCAGGCAGGGGGATGTCACCTCTTTCTTTCGTGGTCTTCTTGACGGAAATCATCTTGTATGCATCTGCTATTCATCTTTTCTACTTCATTTATACTTCTTCCTTTTACAGAAACCATCTCGTCTCCTATATATCGTCTGGATGCGTTACTCAATTCTGTTAGGCAAGGAATTGTCGGTCCTTGTCGTGAGTCTGGATTTGGATGACCTGTCTTGCTTTCGTCTCGTTCCTTGGAAAGGTCATGTTCTGCTTGTTACCGCTGATTGAAGAAGGTGTGTACGTTTGTCGTCCTCTAGGGCTCTGTTGCCTCTGTTTCAGCGAATACGTATGTGGCGATGAGTAGGGTGTCATCGTCAACCTATCTTTCGTCTTGTCGTTTCGGTCCGATCTGTTCATTTTCATGTGAGCTCTTACTCTTCCCGATCCATTGACATTTTAACTCTTATCCTCATGCCCTTGGAATGTTCCCCCTCTGTTCGTGCCCGCATAAATTTTACGCTCATGCGTACGTGCAATTCACGTTACCGGCGCCGTGATTCACGTTACCGCTGTCTATTATCCTCTCTCGTTTTCCCTCTTCCAATAAGTCAACCTTGTCGTCATCTCTTTCTTTTTTAGTTTTTTTCTGTCTCTCTCTCTCCCTCGTTTAATTCTTTTTGTCATGTCTTTTTCTTTGTGGCGCTTCTCATTCCTCTTTCTCTTTCGCATTCTTATGTGTCTTTGTTGCCTTGTCCATTTTCCGTTTTTCTGTTGTTTATCACGTCTTTCTCTCTCAAGTTTCTCAGTTTGTTGCCTTGTTCTATTTCCGTCTTACCTCTCTTGTATGCCTCTACGTTCTGGCCTCTACTGCACCTCCTCAGTTCCCGGCCCTCCACTTTTGACCATCACTTTTCCTCCCTGACGCCGAGTTTTATGCCTTTTGTTGCCAACTTGGGTGGGTCGATTTCGCGCCACGAGCAATTCCCCATCGTCCACGCCGTTGCATGCTGCTCTCTCCTGGTGCAGCTTTCTCCCCCCTCATTACTCGGAGCGACCTTTCTCTTCACCGTCTCATTAGTCTTCCATGTCTTTCCTTCCTCTATCTTCGATGGTTGTGGAGGTCTGCATGCCTGTGTTCGTCACGTAGTAATGCCTCTACATTCCGTGCTCTACTTCACCTCCTCAGTTGCAGCAGTCCTCCAGTTTTGTCCTTCACTTTCCCCCCTCCCTAACGCCGAGTTCTACGCCCTTTGTTGCCAACTTGGGTGCTCTTCTCCCCGCTGTCAATTTCGTGCCATCGACTGCTACAAGATGAATTGGAATTTTCCTTAGCGGACTCCCTGTCCTCGACTCCTCCCGCCCGCCAGTCTCGCCAGAATTGGAAGATTTCAGGAGCTGAATGTTCCATCCTTCGCTTCACATCTTAAATTCCCGCGGTGCTTCTTCCCCGCTGATTCTCTTGATGGATTTGTTGTCTCGTATGATGTTTTCCTTTCAGTTCCCCGCACTTCCCCTCTCTGTCTCTTGCTCCATGTGTTGTCTCGTAGGCTTTTCTTCCTCTTTCTCTCTTCTCGTACTTGTGTTTCCTGTCTTCTTATTCATCTCGTCCTCTCTTTTTCTGGTGCTCCAGGTCTGTTCGTGTTGTCGAACTCTTCTGTGTCGTTTTGGCCTCGTCTTCCACTCCTCTTCCTGTGAATTCCCTCTCCTCTCTTCGTCCTGTCCTGTGTGTCTGGCGATGCTTGTATGCTCCTTATGTTTCTCGCCAGCAGCTTCTCTTCACTACCAATCTTGTGCTTTTTTTCTTTTTCTTCCAGCTTTCTTCTCGGAATGTCCTCTTCCTCCCAGCCTTTTGGGATTTTGGCGGTTGTTCACGGTCCTCGGCAAGTTACCTTGAGCGACTCCCCATCGTCCACGCCGTTGCATGATGCTGGCTACACGGAGCGACCCTTCTTTTCACCTTCTTATTCGTCTCCCACCTCTTTCCTTCCTCTACTTCGATGGCTGTGTGGGTCTGCATGCCTGTGTTCGAGATTGCGTTTGTTTCAAAGAGAGCTAGAGAAAGGGGCTGGGGAAGCTTCCTACTGTTCATGCGTGCTCACGCGAAGGTGCATTTGCTATTGAGACAACCAATAGATGGATGGATAAGAAAGACTCTGAGAGAGAGCTTTCGCTCGGTAGGTCGGTAAGCACAGACACAGACACACACACACACACACACACACAGAGACAGACACACACACACACACACACACACACACACACACACACACANACACACACACACACACACACACACACACACACACACACACACACACACACACACACACAGAGAGAGAGAGATCGGTGCCTGCGTTTGGGGTGCTATGGCTCTCGCATTGCCTCTCCTGCACGGGCAATTGCAAAGATGCATGCCTGGGCACGCTCAGTCGTGATGGTGGGACCTATAGATAGGCCGGTGGATAGAGGGAGAAGGTACTATGCATGCCGAGGGGATGGGGGATGTTGTCAAGCTCCCAACTTTCTAAAGGTGGTTCAGGATAGACACTCTCGCACCATAACTTGTTCAGGGAAGACACTCACACGAGAAATTCGAATGAATTTGTCCGTAATTGTTATCCGATACGTACTGGAAAGCTGGACTGTGAGCATGCCGTCAGAGATCTTGACCTTCGGAAAGCATGGCAGTGTATTCGATTTCTTTCTTTGAACTTTGACGCGGCAGCGCTTTCTTTTCACGAGGCCGCCGATTTTTCATCGCGGTCTGCGAATCAGACATCTCTTTTGTGGGCACGGAAATTTGCGGTGGCCTGGGGCGGCTTGGCATCGTTTTTCCCGGATGCTATGGTGGTGTTTTAGAGCACAGCTATTCAAAAGGATGAAAGGAGGGAAAAAAACATTGCCACATTCCCCCACCGCCATGGTTAGCTCACAGCCCATCGGTGTTTCAATTCAGTCCATTGGATTGGCAATCTGACTGCCACAGGTTTTTGTTCTCTCCAGTGGCTGGCAGGATTGTCCAGGCGGTCGTGGTGGTGTGGTGTGGTGTGGTGTGGTGTGGTGGTGTGGTGTGGTGTGGTTAAGGCTTATGGTACTCGGGGGCCAAAATGACGGTATGCTCAAGGGACCATGTCTGCTGTCGTTCTCGGTATCCTATAGTAAAACGTTTGGAATCGAATGGTTCATCTCGGCCAGTGGCATGCGCTTACCATTGCAGCCATGACTCGATGTTCTAAAAATAGATCAGTATCCATTGCGGCACGCACCTCACTCGGGCATTGTGGCTGTGCTTCATTCACTTTCTGAAACACAGACAGATCCTTGAGATCTTCTGCAGGCGGGGTAACGAACCGGCCTCGTCGTGTGCACTGAGTGAAATAGAATAAATGGCAGCGGGCGCCTTTGCTAATGAATGGTAAAGAGAAAGCAAGAGCGGTGTCCTTGAGACCTTGATTGCCAGATCAGATGAAGGCCGAAGGACATTGGTGGTTCTTCCTGAAAGCTTGCAGGTGTATGCCTGCCACAGAACATTAGCAGATCACTGGAAGATGGGGCTCATTGGATAAGTCTCCGAACAAGGGCGGTTGATGACAGCATCAAAGACTCCTTTTGCTGGCCTGAACTCCCAAACCTTGGGTTATTGAGAGGCAGGGGGGCGTTAACTGTTTGTGGGCATCAAACTACAGTCATTCGATTGGCGCCTGTTTGGGTCTGGCCCATAAATTGTTCAGAATCAACGGTCTTTAACCTAATTCTCTTCCTGGGAGTTTACGTGTCTACACAAATGAAAAAGAAATTAGGGGAGAGGGGCCCCATTAGAGTCGCCTTTGAGATGAAGCTGGAGTGTGCTGAGAGAGACCGGCTGTGTCCCGCCTTGTGGGTCAGTGGTTGCTAGGTGTGATGCCCCTGCTGCCCTTGAGGGACTCAGCAAGCTAATTGTTCTCCACCATTTTTTGGCCATATGCCAGTATGCCCATCTGACCGTGTATTGTGGGACATCTACGCCAGCAGCCAGTGCCGTGTCAAATTCAGTCCTCTGCCATTTATCTGGCATCCTGATGTTGAATTTTTGACAGCTGCCGGTCAGTATTTGGATTGACTGAGATTGATTATGGAGTCATTGTGAAGTTATCCAAGCATCGCTGAGCACCATTGACGCACCTCCTAAAGCACTGGAGGTAAGTCCTCACTAAATGTGCCCTAGATGCTATTGCGCGTTGTATGAATGGGCAGGAGTGGAAAGAGGAGAGAGAGGGGAAGCTCCGGAACACACAACAGAGAGAGAGAGAGAGAGAGAGAGAGAGAGAGAGAGAGAGAGAGAGAGATTGTGGCTGTTTTCACTAGTGGGAGTGATGCGTTAAGGCGTTATCCACCACTTGTATTCTACTGTGACGAACTTGTAAGCAATTGATAGGTGAACTGCGAACGAGTTAGCATGTGCAGATTTAGCTGGTGATCGGAGTGATGTTGCATATCTTCAAAATTCTGCAACAACGCCCAGGAACATCTGTAGCTCTCGGCTGTGACTTAGTGTTTGATTACATTGTCTGAATGCTTAAAGAAGTTCAATCCCAACGTAATCAGTAATGTTTATATTGGGCGTGGTTATTATGCAGCTGCATGACAGAATAGGTTGCCCGAAGTAGGCATTCGCCCAGAGAAATCGAATGCGATTGGCTTAAGACAACTATGGTTGGGTGGTTGGCTGGGCTCCGTTTATGGTTCTGAGGATGGACATGGATTTCTTGAAAGAGCAGAAGCTTTGGTTGTCCGGTCAAAGCAAGACCTTGGTGTGCCCAGTAAAGTAGCGGACTGTGTTTTAAGCCAGCAGTATCTCCCAGCCTCGTTTCCCAATGTGGACTTTTGCCCGCGCATTGCATTCTGAACCATCATGGGGACAAGGCCCACTGGGCCCCGCCAGCTGTTTTGGTCCGTAGTCCAAGCCTTTGCGCAGCGCTGTGTTAATCGGCAGGTGCGTGCAGGATGGCTGGGATAGGTACTGGACCACTGGTGGTTTGGGTAGTCCTTTGGATTAGTTTGTCCTGTGCTGACCTTTTTGTATGCATCATGGATGCTCTTTGAATTCTGCCCTCCCAACCCGTCCCCCTGCCTCTTGTTTCTTCTCAATTGATGACTTGCATCTATGTTTTGTGTCTGTGATAATGAATCCAAGATCATACACACTGTTTTAAGATACTCAAAGATGTCTTGCATGGCTGTTTGTATGGACAGGCAAGAGCACACTTCTTAACCATATGTTTGGGACAAGGTTCAAGGAGATGGACGCCCTGAGAGGAAGGTATGCATTGTGCTTTCCTGCATGGGTGTGAGGGCTTGAGACCTGCACATTTTTCTTTTTTCTTCTCCCTTTGGGGTTATGTGGTATGCTGTTTCCCTCCTTTCGTCTCTCTCACATTAATGGTGCTAAGACGACATCCGGGAGCCTGTAAATCAGGGCAGCGTTCTTCTGAAAATAAGACGAATGTTGAATGTTTTATGTTTATCCCAAAATGCAGACAGAGGGCAATGTTGGGGACCTGCAAGAAAGAACCCATTTAGACATCTACAAACAGCCTGGAATGAAGGCAGTGTTCGAGTGACATTGAGAGGAGACATAGCTATGTTCATGCCTAGAATGGAGGCACAAATCAGGTGCTCCTTACCTTTGTCCAGTATCTGACGTGGCGTTTTGCATGCTGCGACTGCCGTTCCTTGATGCGAGTGTACACTGTAGGAAGTCATAATCTATGCCTGCTAACATAGTCTGTATGCTAGAGATCTTATGAGCGGGCATTACTACACGACTCTGGAGGGAATTATAGCACACTCACACAAGGACATTCCCAAATGTTTTACGACCAGAAAAATTTAGTGTGCGCTTACCCCCTCTTGGTCGCAAAATTTAGTGTGCGCTTACCCCCTCCACAGCAGTGTAGTAATGCCTGCTCTTAAGATCTCTAGAATACGGACTGGAGTAGCAGACATATATTATGTCTTCCTGCAGTGTACACTTGTATCAAGGAAGAGCAGGAGCAGCATGCAAAATGCCACGTCAGATACCGGACGAAGGCGAGGAGCACCTCTACTGTAATGTACTGTGCAAAATCAGCCTGGAGAGTGGTAGAGCAGAGCAGAGTCGTTTGTTTGCCAAGTGTCTACTGACTCTACTCCTTTCTATGACTACATCACTGCATTATGGAGGAAGGCAGCCACCAGTCGTTTGTTTGCCAAGTGTCAGCTGCTTGTTTGTGAGGTGCCGGCCTTCTTTCAGGGCTGTTACCCATCGACCATCATGTAGCTGATTGTGGTGAGAGGGTATGTTGGGCTGCCAAACATTTGTTTGGGGGGAAGAGCTAAAGAACTAGGCCCGATGGAAGGAACTGTATATTGGAGGAGCGGAGGCCTACATAATTGGGGATCGATAAAGAATGGTTCTGCTTGGGAAGGGCGGCTGTGGCTCTGTTCCACTTAGACTGCCAATGGAGAGCCTATTTTGTTTGCTGTGGGCTGCAGTTTACATCCCAGATTGTGCCAGTTGCTGCAAGGGGACAGTGTAATTTATAATCACTGGATTAATGGGCGTTTTCTGTGGAAAGTATTTTTGCTTCTGAAACACTGGCCAAGCTCCAGGAAAATGTTCAGCCACAGTCTCAAAACTTTGTGCAGAGGTCCTGACCACAGGCCAGTCACTTGGAGGGAAGACTATTTTAGACCATCCTTGGTTGTAGTGTAGAGTTTAGAATAGCTGGCATTGCTGTGGAAAGTCGGGGGGACTGCCTCGTTTTTTCCTCCGTGGCCTCAGAAAGGGACGTGGGCAGATTGGGTGAGGAGCAACCTGCCTGTACTAACCGTTTTGGCTGGATACCCCGTGGCATTCTGATTGTACGGTCGTCCTGTCTCTCTCCCTACTTCCTTCCTTGCTACCCTGATACTCTCCGCTGAGGTCCTCACGCCCTTTCCCTTGCCAAGGAGGCACTGGATGTGCAGTGCTACTGTATATTATGAGTGTTGACCAGACATGGCCTGGGGAGAGGATACTGTGCGAGTATGTAATTGGAAGAGACTCCTGTAACCGAGTGGATGTTTGCCTGTGTGTGGCACACATTCTCAGACTTACTGCCATTCTTGTTAGGAGTTGC